CTCAAGGTCGAAGTCGAAGTCGCTCAACCCCGCAGACCCGTAAAACCTTCCCACCAGCCAGTTCCAACCCTAAACATTGCTGGTATCACCAACAGTTGAGCTCCAGAATCAAGAAATGCACTCCACCCTGTTCGTTCTCTACACATGGAAACCACCAAAATCGGACAGTAATAACGGCGCCTGTTTCCGGCATTCTCCCCAGTGGTTCGCTATTTACTCAAGACCAAAGCACTATTATCCGATTTTGATCGATAGCGGAGCTGAACTGAGCGTAATTCTCCATACGGCACTTTACCGCCACCTTCAAACAACCCTTGTCACCCTACAAACAGCCAACGGTAATCGCATTCACACTTACGGTCGTCGCTCCATCACCATCTATCTTGGTTTAAGACGACAATTCAGGTGGATTTTCACCATTGCTGATGTCCACACTTCCATCGATGGTGTTGATCTTTTGTCTGCTTTTGGTCTCGTTGTTGATGTCAAGCAGCAAAACCTACTCGACACCTCCACCTCATCTGTCAGTGCTCGTGACACGTGCAATTGTTCCATGGGACTCCTTCTACTCGAACCCTAATCATCTGTCTTCTTCAATATTCTTCGTAAATTTCCAGAATTGAAACAGCATTCATATGAACATGCGATTGTTACGCACGAGGTGATCCACAGCATCATCACCAAAGGTGAATCCGCCACCGTCGGCCTTCGCCGACTCACACCTGAAAAATTGGCCATGGCTCGCGCAGATTTCTATCACCTGCCCCAGCTTGGTATCATTCGTCTATCCAACTCCCCTTGATCTTCTTGTTTGCATATGGTACCCAAAAAGCCCTGGAGATTGGCGTCTTTGTGGTGACTACAGACCACTCACCAACTCTGCTACATCCGACAGATATCTCATTCCACAAATCCTTGAATTCACACTCACCCTTCACTCAAAACAGACTTCTCTAAAATTCGACCTTGTGCGTGCATAGTATCACAATCCAGCGGCTGAATCAGACATTCCAAAATAACACAACCCCATTTCGTGTGTTCAAATTTTTACGAATGCCCTTTGGTGTACGTAACGCAGCACAAACATTTCCACGCTTTATGGATCAAGTAACTCGAAGTCTTGTATCTGTTTTTGTTTACTTGGATAACAATTCAATAGCTAGCACTTCAACCGAGGAGCCCGGCTCCCGCTTGAGCGTTCTCTTTGCACGTTTTGAACATTATAGTCTCATGTTGAAACCATCAAAATACCTTTCCGTATTTCATCCTTAGAATTTCTAGGCCGAGATTAATTCACGAGGCATTTTCCCACTGTCTTCCAAAGTTACAACCATTCAGGACCTATCCCATCCAACTTCTGTCAAACCGCTTAAATCTTTTTTGGGTTTGATTAATTACTATCGTCTTTTTATCCCCAATGGTTGCACTATTCTTCATCCTCTCACTCATTTGCTCCGCGGTAATGCAAAAGACGTTGTATACACTTCTGAGGCGTCAAAAGTGTTTAACACCGCCAACTCAGCCATACAGGACGACACCATGTTGTTCCCCCTCAACTCATCTCCATTCACTTAAGTGGTGTTGCACACCGATGTATCGAATCATGCCGTTGGAGCGGAGTTTTATCAGATCTTCACAAATGTTTAGCAGCTCTTGGCCTTCTATTCACAGAAACTTTCACCCTACCAAACTAACTACATCACCTTTGGTCGCGAATTACTGGCAGTATACCGTGCCATCCGACATTTTCGCCACCTCCTCAAAGGTCATCAATTCCCCATCATGACTGACCACAACTCACTGGTGTTTGTTTTCCGTGCACGTTCTGATCGCCACCCTTGGCGTGAAATTCGTTTCTTGGATTTCATCTCTCAATTTTCCACCGATATCCGGTATATCAAAGGATCGGACAACACCATCGCAGACGCTATCCTTCGGCTCAACATCAACAGTGTTGTTACGGCATCCGATATCGGCCTTGAGACCATTTGTCAACATCAATCCAATGACCCTCATTTACGAGACCTGCTCAATTCCACTTCAATGCAGTGCACGCAAGTCCCTCTTCCACATTCACCACCCACCATTTTCTGTGATACTTCCTCTGCACATCCCCGACCAATTTTACCGTTTTGTGTGCATCAACCCCTTTTTATGCATTTTCATTCATTGTCGTACCCCAGTGTTCTTTCTATGTTACGTCTAATTACTGATCGTTACATTTGGCCCAGTATGAACAAACATGTCCAAAAGTGACCTTGGCCACGTGATTTGAAATTCTGACGTGGAGAGTTCGCCGACTAAATAAGTCTCAAAACTAAGGAAGGAGTCGAAAATTGCGGGGTATGGGAAATATGAAAAAGCTTTTAAAAGCTTGGAAAAAGACAACGCACAAGGTGAACCCACACTGTAGTGTGTATCTTGGCGGGATTCAATTGACGTAAAGCGTAATACCAGCGATTTTCTATTTCTAACGCAAGGAACCTTGTATTTCTTAGACTTTTAGCGTACTATAACAAAGGTTTTATCTTAAGAGCGTCGTAGTTTACTCTGAGTATTATATCTGCTCACCCTTTTATCTCTTTTAAAAACTCCAACCCTTTTTCAGTGACTGATATAGAGCTTAACTGTACTGGCTTGGGCACCAGCACAAGGTCCTCCAAGGGGGGATGCAAGTAAGACGCGGAAATCCAGGAGTATCCATGAGAGAAGGAAAGCTGCACCGCAGAGGTACCTGACCCAGGCATAAACTGTGATATCTGCAGTATCTGGTACCATCCGAAATGCAGTGGGCTAACGAGCGACAGCTTCCACATTTACGGGCAACACAAACGCCTGAAGTGGGTGTGCCCAGCCTGCGCAACTCTCCTGAGGAACATAAAAAACGAGATAAGCATGCAGTCAGGTCAAAACTAGAGCCCAAAAGGAGAGAGTGCATGGCTACTGTTCCACCCTCGGCCGACCTAATGGAAAGTAAAATACCTGGAAGTTTAGGTAAACAGGAGAGAAGCTGTCCGCCGAAGTGCACAGTTTGCGTAGAAAGGCGAAGAAACCGCTCAGAATGGATGAACGGTCAGGCTATAGTCTACCGCCGGGTTCTGCAAGTCACCATCGGGCCACCGTAGCAATCGCAGAGCGTTGTACTGGTATCTTAATTTGTAGGAACATCTCTTGTATGTCGGTTGCCACTGCAACTACTCCTTGCCGGAGTCGGTTGAGCACGTCAATCAAGGGAGTGGTCCAGTTCGGTCCCTGCAACAGACAATCGTTAAGCGAGAGACCGCTGTATTGCGCCGCACAGTCGAAAACCCCGCGTATCTTCCCTCACTTTCTAGGGTTTGTTACCGAGTGGTGTGGCAAGTACCACTGTCTTTGCCCGCGTGGTTGTGAAACGTCCAATCGTTCTATGTATCCCGGATGCAAGTTCCGTTGCATTGCAGCGGCATATTGTCGACAGAGCTCTGTGTCCCGGACCAGTCACCTTTTAAGGTACTCCAACCTTTTTAGGGCTATCCGGTGATAGTTCGGCGATCGGTCTTATCCGGTCTTTCATGGCAACGGCACCTCGAACCGGTCGGGCTGGTATCGTGTCCCCGTTTCGACTGTTGCTAACGCCTGTTTGTCCTCTACAGAAGGACCCGCCTTCTGGTCGTTCAAGTCGTCCAACTCATTATTGTACATGCTTTGGAGAGATTGTTTGATCGCATCGTTGCCAGCGGTGGTGGTGGTGAAGTTAACTGACAACGGTTTACGGATTGTCGCATGTGGCGGTCCAAACAATGTCCACCCGAAAACGGTGAGAGCATCATATGGTTCTTTCCTGCCGCCCAGTCTCTGGTCCAGGACCCAGTGTGCTTCTGGCACATCACATCCTATTAGCAAGTCGATTTCGGGAGAGTCGGTTTCTCCGAAACAGAAGTCTCGCAGGTGTGGTCAGGGCTTTGCTAATTCCCCGATGGATTGTAATGCTCGCATCGGCAAGTTGGCGATGGTGGAAGCTTCCGTCACCTCTACTCGTTCACCATTATCTAGCAAAACAAACGTCATGTTTTCTTGGTCGGCGGAAGTCGCTTTGATACCGTTCACCATGCTGATCGTCAGGGAAGATGGCAGGGTCGTGATGTTGGTTTTTACGGCGAAGCGCTTAGCGATCAACGTGGCATCGGATCCGTTTTCAATGAACGCCATCGCCTTCACCACCCCACTGGATATTAATATGCCCACTGGTGTTACTCTGAGACGTACCTGCTTGTCCGCCAATTGAGATAGTAGACATACCCTTGGCTTTTGGGGTACCGGTAACTAAGTTTCTCTTATAGGGTGCAACAGAGTATGGTGGCTTCCTTGACACCCCTTTTCGCTGCATCCTACAAGCGGCCGCACGATGTGAGCTGTTCAAACAGATAAAGCACGCGCCATACCTCTTGGCTGCTTTCCAACGGTCCGGAACTTCTAGTTGCACAAATTTCTCACACGCGGATAACTCGTGATTCAAACTACACATCGGGCATCTGGGTTTGCCACGTTCCCCTACCGTTGCATAGTTGTTTGCGCTTCTAGGACTTCTCGGGATCTCATAGGTTCGTTTTTTTGGCATAATGTCTCTCTTCTCGCCTACTAATGCTGGCGAGTTGTCCGAAACGACTGCTAGCCACCTTGTTACGGTTTCGGATGAATTCCGTTAGCTCGGTGAAATTAGGTTCCCTCCCTAAACGGCCGAAAATCACCGCCCATAGCTGCTGTATGTCAGCCGGAAGGCATCGTACTATTGCTTCTGGGGTGTGTAGTGCGTTCAAATCAGCTTTGTAGCTCATTTGAGTGAGGGTAATGTAACAGTTTTACATCTTCATTACAAGTTGCACCAACGACTCGGGTTCATTTCTCTCTTTACGGGCCTCGGCCAGCATCCCATCTATGAGCACCCGTTCCACGTGAAACGGCTGGCCAAACAGTTCCTTCAGGATTTCCCTAGCTTGGCTATACCCAATTTTGTTTGACAGCATTACACATTCTTCGATAGCGTCTCGGGCCTTCCCTCGGCAATGATGCTTTAGGTAAAGGAACTTCCGTCCTGGATCAGCGACCCGACACTTGATGAAATTATCAAATTCTCTAATAAATCTCCAACAGTTTCTGGGGTTCCCGTCAAATGGAGTTAGCTCCACCTTGGGCAGGTCTATCGACGTGTGGCGGTACACTACTTCAATCGGTGGTTGAGGCACTTCCGGCGCCAGTCCAATGGGCAGGGTTTGTTTTCCCGTCGCGGCGTGCTTGGTCGAGCAAGCTTGCTTAGCCCCTGATTTCCTAAGCTTCATCGACCTAATCGCCTGCTCTAACTCTACAATCTTAGGGAGATATATATCAGACATCTTAGCATCGGCATCACAATCCATGGCACATGAACTTCTAGCACTAACAGGACTAAGTGAATTGTAAATGTGAAAATCAGAAACGTCCCCAAATTACCCAGTGACTTGCTGAATTACTTCCTGTTCCCCCTCTTCGATCCTTCCTTGTACGAACGATACTCTCTTGTTTCAAACTATGCGAATTTTGAGTACTTTGTGCCCCAAAGAGATCAACGAGCAACGCGTAGCCAAAATCGGATCTCAAAACGTCAACAAAACGACTGATCCCCCAAGTTTCTACGGAACTACATTTATAAACGATCAAATAAGCAAATGAAAGCTGTACAAACCTCAAATTGATCTCGAAACAACTTGAAAATGTAAGCCAAGTATTACTGTGAGCGTGATTCAACAATTCCGAATGGAATAAAATGAGTATGGACAAGAACAGCACGCTCACCTTCACGCTGTACACGAACGATCCAAGTGTGAGCGCTCAGGTCACGATTGAAACAAGTAGGGTACGAATGAAGCACTTAAACAAACAAAGTCAAATGGTAGGATTGATGTGTGAATATACAAAGGGAGTGGAATGTCAAATGTTTAGGTATGTATGAGGCGGATGGTGTTAGGTGAATGGAACCTGATTTTCACGAAATGTGGAACCGAGATAGATTGACTGGGCTTTACAGGAAGGATTTTCACAGATCGATCAATACAGTGGTAAAAGCCCCTCCGAAAACGACCCAAAAATCTATTCTCAGTTGCCCTCCCAAGCAAAAAACACCGACTGCCGCTTTGCGGCCCTATCCCCAACCTGGACACTTGGCACGAAAATCCCAATTTCANCCATCTACAGGACGCACACCGTATCCTGCCTACACCCAACCCCCAAGCCCCGACCTTCCACGCTCCATCGCATACAATAATACACAGCCAACATTTCACTCAATCCCATCACTCCTACTCACATGTCCCAATTTTCATCCTACAAATATCAATGCTGCCTCCGTGTTACCCTCGTTCAAAACTTTCTCTCACTGTTTCGCCGGATGTCTCAACCCTCCGCACCACTACGGGGGCCCTACTATCAACCACATTTCTAACTTTACCTCTATATCTGGTTCTGCACTAATACACCCAAACCGACTCCCTTTCGCAAACCCTCCCCCCATTCTATCTGCACGCCTCGCTCAATCGGCATCACAACCGCCAGAAGTCATTGATTCTGCCCCTATCTCTGTTAGACCATTTCTTGCGCTAGCCCTCATCAATGCACGCTCCATATTCCACAACATAGAGGCGTTAAAGTGTCTGGCACTCACCTTAAACCTCGATATTATGTTTATCACCGAGTCCTG